TACTACTTGTGAAGTTACGTTGTAGCATCGTTTGAGCATTTCCTTTTGCCAGGTTGTTTTACTGTTTGTTTTGCTTCTTTTTCATGACCTAATATTTCCGGGGTATAGGTACCATTCCTCCTAACTTTTAATCCAATATTATTATGTAGGTGATTTGTGCTTTCTCTCGCTTAGTTCAAGTATTAGGTTAGATATCTTATTTGGTCTAATATTTCTTTCGAGAAGTCTTTATTTATAAGTGCACTTTTCTGCTTGTTTTTTAATTTCCATTTCTACTGTTTCATTTTTTAACTCTGCCTTTACAGGCCTATTGCTCGAGTTTTGCTGCTTTCCAATTGTTCTTCTCCAATCTTCCAATCATCTCTATTTATTTTTAAGTTCATTGTATTAGTTATTATTTTACATTGTTTATAGCATTAAGTATTGTTGTTTGGTTTTGTTTTCTTTTCTTCCATGAGTTTTAATATTTTTTCCTTATTTCCTTTTCCAAATTTTCAATTCTTTTCTTTTGTGATTTCACTTCTTTTCTAATTTTGCGGTTTTCTCTTCTTTTGTCAATTAAACAAATCTGCGTTATTGTATGTTTCCCGATTTAACTCATTTCCCATTGATAATAATAAATATTCAACGAAATATAGCATTTTTCTTTCAAATTAAAAAGTACCTACCTCATTTAATGCCTGCAGAAGCATAACTGTCTAACTGAATTAACCTACTAATTCGATAATAAAGCATACTAATTTAATAGAGGACACACTAAGTGCTCACATCCTATCATTAGTACGCCCAATATTTCCATTTGAAAAATTTCTCTTTTCATAATGCGAGCGCTTAGAAATTTTTCAGATTAAGTAGTTGATATAATCAACAAAACAGACCGAAGTAAGCAAACTGCAAAGTACCGAACAACGGTACCGTTTATGTAATTATATTTCGTATATGGAATATAGCTTTTAATTTGGTAATATGAACAAGGTGACATAAAAAAGTCAAGAACAAAATATATTTGACAAAAAATGCAACATAAAGTATAAACTTCGAAAGCTTCATATTTTTTTAGATTGTCCAACTTATACAAAAAGTAGTCCATTTAAATTTATTTTTATTACCATTTATTGATCTTTTAGTGGACTATCAAACATATTACAATATTATTAGTTATCATATATTTTGTAGACAAACTATTAAAAATTATATTATAGTAAAAGTCCACAGTATGGTGAAATTTTAGTGCAATAACGATTCATAAAAAGTAGATCCCCTGGTAAATAGAGTGAGGAATCAAATTGATCAATCAAATTATCAAAATATGATATTCGCTGGACGTCCAGTTTTTGACATGCATTTGATCATTAAAATCTAACTTTTCATGAGGTCCTTTGGACCTAAAAATGAGTGGTAAATAACTCGCAAACTACAAACACTCCGTCATTCCCAAAGATCGAGACTCTGATTTCATTACTCCAAATTACTGTCATCATTATCATCTTTGGCTCGACAATCCTCTGTGGATCTTGGCCTGCTCTAAGATTCGTCGCCATTCTGTTCGGTTTTTGGCAACATGTTGCCATCTTCTGATTTTTAATATTCGTAAATCGGTTTCTACTCCATCTAACCACCTAATTCGCGGTCGGCCTTTGCTTCTTTTTCCTACAGGTGTTCCTGTGGTTAGCTTTTTAGCAATGGTATTTTCTGGCATTCGTATTATATGTCCAGCCCATCTAAGTCGCTGTGTTTTAATGAACGTTATGACATCTGGCTCATCAAAGAGCTGATACAATTCAAAATTATATCTTCAGCGCCACTGCCCTTGGTCGTCTACAGCTCCAAATATTTTTCGGAGTATTTTACGCTCAAATATTCCCAAAAGTCTTTCATCTTTCTGCGTTAAAGTCCATGTTTCTGCTCCATATGTGAGGACCGGCCTCAGCAATGTTTTGTATAGAATAATTTTAGTTTTTCTTTGAATGTTTCTTGAGTGGAAATGCTTTTGGAGTCCATAGTATGCCCTATTTGTAAGATTTATTCGTCTTTTGATTTCTTCGCTTGTTTTATTGGTAGCAGTCAATAGCGACCCAAGGTATGTGAAGTTGTCAACACTTCCAAAGGTATGACTTCCAAAGACTGTTTCTCGTTCTTCATTTGCTATCGGATCCTTTGTAACCAACATGTACTTGGTTTTGTCTTCGTTGATGACTAGACCGACCTGTTTCGCCGCTGTTTCCAATTCCAGGAGATATTGGTCAACATCTCGCTTGCTACGCCCTACTATGTCAATGTCATCAGCATACGCTAAGACTTGTATCGATCTATTGTAAATAGTACCGCCATCCCTAATTCGTGTATCTCTTACTGCCTTTTCTAAGGCAATATTAAATAGGAGGCAAGCCAAGGATCTCCTTGTCTGAGTCCATCCTTTATCTCAATGGATCTAGAACTCTCTCCCTGTATTCTAACAGTGGCTTCAAAGTTAGACATTGTCATTCTCGTTAGTCGGATAAGTTTCTCTGGTATACCAAACTCATGCATTGATTGGTATAGCACTGTTCTCTTGACACTGTCGTATGCGGCCTTGAAGTCGACGAATAGGTGATGGGTTTCAATATTGAATTCTAATGTTTTCTCGAGAATCTGTCTTATTGAATGAATCTGGTCAATTGTTGATTGTAAAGATCTGTTGTAGGTGGTCTTTCGTTTGGGTTGAAAGGATTCCAATCATTTCGATTTGCTAGGGTGTTATCTGCTTCTTCGATATGATGGCCATTAAATTTTGCATCGAAAAATTCATCCCATCTGTTTAGGATTGAGGCTGTATTATTTAGGATGTTTCCTTCTACATCCTTACAGCTTCTTATTCTTGGCTTAAACTCTTTGCGCATTTTGTTTAGATTTCTGTAGAACTTTCGAGTTTCATTTTGATTTCTTAGCAATTCTGTTCTTTCCAACTGCTTTTGCTCAAATTGTCTTTTTTTTTCTTCTATGTAATCGTTTTTCTTCTCTTCTTAGTGTCCGGTATTCTTCCTTTGCTCTTCTTGTGCATCCAGCTAGATTTGTCTTTAGGTATGCCCTGTTTTTGTTATCTGTTGCTTCTTGGCACTCCTTGTCAAACCATTCGTTTTCTTTAACTGGTTTGGTTTTCCCCAATATTTTTGTTGCTTTCTCAGTTATTATGTTTTTACATTTTGTCCACACTCCAAATTACTGTACTCCACTGATATTATGTCGACCTTCTGTGTGGCAAAGCTGAATTAATACGTTTTTGCCTCTATTTTTTTTTCTCTGTAAATTTTTTTTGCTATTTATTGCTTGCTCTTGCCTTGATATTTGTGTCCTTCTTCTCGAAGGATAATTGATTTGAATAAAGAACTCTTAAACATGACCTTTAACAACATCGGTAATTTTACATCTTTTATATCAAAAATTAAATAATTAAAAAAAAATTTAAATCCCAACACTTGGATTGTTGTTATCATTTTTAACATCATCAAAGTTTTTGAATCTTTTGGCTGTAATAATACTATGTATAACTAATATTGTTTCATGGTACATTGACATTTTGTTTTGGACACCGTTTATAGGTATCTTGTCAATCAGTTACCAGCTGAAGTCCGTTTGAAGAGGTTTACTCTCCGGACGCTGGAACTCACTTAAGGCGTGGATGTATGTTACTTAAAGTAAAATTTAATTAAATATTAATCATCAAATATTAATCACAACATTATGTACAATCTTTGTTAATCTTATGTATTTTAAAGGGTTTTTACCCTAATATTTTGGTGGCTCAGGCATGTTAACCTGTAAGTATAACCATTTTTCTTTTTTAACCTTAGTCAACATTTTTAAGCTGATGATGGAATTATTCCGAAAACGTTCGTGATATTTGATGTAGCCCTTTTAAGGGTTTTTTTTTTTAAATATACCCATTTACAAAGATTTATCTTTTTTTTTACATAAAATTACCTACTTGTAGTATCATGAATTCTCCTTGTAACCAATAATGTCTCTGAAACAAGACCCGACACAGTTACAATGCAAAGGTTATTGGAAAACGGCAGAGATGAGAGTACTGAGAAGAATTACAGGAAATAAGCTGAGAGATTGAAAGAGAAGTGAAGACATTAGAAGAAAATGTAACGTACAGTGTACAGATAAATGGACATAAAATAGAAAAAAAGAATAATATAACCACGTGAGCAGAATGGAGGAGACTTGTGTCGTCAAAATAGCAAGAGTCACCAATCGGCAAAAGAAATATCAGACGACCGCTCAAAAGATGGATATAAAATTCTTAATTGTATCCCTTAAAACCCACCAAATTTTAGTTTGTAAGAAAAATTGTAACACCCCGTATCTCGGAAAGCATTTGTGGACAGACGTTTATATAGCAAAATGTCATTATTTTTTGTGCAGAATTACTCAATAAAGTTTGTTCCACTTGTTTACTAACACCACATAATATATGATACATCTTTGGTTCATCTGTCAGTTGGTACTTGTGCTCATCAAAAATGCTTTTCAATTTTTTTAAACTATAGGATGAATGAATAAAATCGTATAAAAATTTCAAGATGAAGCAAAAAGTTTTTTTTCAAATTTTATCTACACTTTCAAAAATATATGATGACGTGCAGGGCTGGGTTGTACCAAGTGATGGTTACCGTAATTAGCATGCCATGACTCATCAGTACAAAATTTCTAGCCTTCCAGACATACCGCTACTTGGAGGGTTCACTAGCTCTTGGTCTATAAATTTAACATTGTGAAAATTTTGGTCTAGACTCGTGAATAAAACGTGTACCAGTAACGGACTAAGAGCATTCCCGATAAATTTAGAAAACAATCCGTTAAACAATACATACGCGTGATAACTTTTTATTCCACATTTGCTAGCTACTAAACTAAACTTTAACTTAAACAAAAATAAAAGAATTTGTAAGAAATTTAAATGAATAAATCATTTTTCTCTTGTTACAGACCATACCCTTAGCGGGTAACGAACGATGGGACTTTACAAACAGTACTTTAGACTAACACGCTATGCCAAAAACCACTTCATTGGAATCAGTTCGCAGCAAAAAGGTGGACAAGATGGCGTTCCACTTCAAATGCTCGTATCACAAAACTTTAGTCACAGTAAGTACCTAGTTAGTTTATATTTATTTACAAGAAAATAGCATTTCTTATACTATGAGGGGAGACCACGTTATCTTAAGTTACACTTTTGCTGAAAATTTTGTCAGTTATCCAAGACACAAACACATAATTAGTTATATTGGTGTAAGTTTGGTATTTACACTCATCTAGTCCTCATATTTATGAGATTTGAACAATATTTTAATCGGCTGTAGAAAGTATTTAGGAAAAATCTTATGATTGTATAAATAATATTGCTTTCTCCAAATACTACTCATATTCTGTTAACTGCATTTATAAACACTGTGGATCTGTTTGAAAAATTTCGAACTTCCTTTTGCTTCGTGTAGATGTCGCTGCTAGCGCATTCGGACATGCTATTGTTGATATAACAACCAAATACTAGACTGCATTTTATTTGAGTTTGAACTTCTACAAGTGTCCCTGACGAGAGTTAAATAACTCGAAACACGTGTAGAACAATGATGGAACTCTAATTGAAGTGAACTACAACTAAATTTTTTAAATTTATTAATCTTTTGTATTTTTGAGAACGTTTTGCCACGAACAAAGACACATTTGAACAAAGACAAAGATACCATAAGGAAATAGCGTCAGAACAACATTATGGTGTTTGTTATCCAATCATATAACTTCTTTTTCGTTTTAATGGCCAACACATTTCATATTCACATAATTTTCTGTTAATAAATCTCCATAACCTTCTTAGATAATGTACCTAGGTATTGAAAAATAAAAGTTGTTACAAAAGGATATATAGTACATAAATATTTATTGTTAAAAGCCACTGTCACTGTACAAAACATATAGAAACATTTGTGCATTCTTCTTAAAGTTTACGGTCATTAACAAATCATTTTAATTACATAAATGACTTATTTCACAATCAATAGTTTAAGTACTTCTCTGGAGACCGACGTGTCAAATCTCCTGTAGCAATATTTATATTTCGCACATACTCATATGCATTATGTAAGTCCATTAACGGAAGATATTCACCTTGAAACCACTGACCGATTATCAAAATTTTCTCTCTGTTGGACTAAGCTAAATATAAATTACATAAACATAATTAAATAGTGGAAAACACATGGCCCATGTGTAACTTAAACGCGGCTAGTAAAAGACATAACAAGGCTTACGAAAAAACTATTAGATAATAATTAATAGGTAATATTTTCTAGGACCGTTCCATATATCAGTCTATATAATGAATAGATTACATAAAATACTAAACACTTTACTATCGCAGAACTAAAATGATGATTGATAACTAAATATTTATATATCGAACCATTTTTGGACATAGGCTTGTCTAGTCTTTTTCACTGATCTATATACAGTGCGCTGTTGTTGTCCTGTTACAAAAATTAAGTTATCGTTTTGGGAAATTTTCAGTTAAATTCTAGAATTCAAAGCTACTGATATAATGTATTTGGGATCAATCGAACCAACGTCCACCCGTATAAAAGATACAGTATAATCTCACTAATCCGGCACTTCAATAAATCTACTCGTCCACTAATCCGACACCCATCACCTGCTCCACTCAATCCCCTTACTTCCTTCCTTTCCGTGTTCGGAACACCAACCGCTTTAAATTTTGTATTTCCAATCTCTGTGCATGATAGTAGATGGTGGCTATTTTGAACCCCGCCACAGTCGCAGGTATCGTCCTCCTGGTATCCCCATTTCTTCAGGTTACTAGCACAACGTGAAACGCCAGTTCCTACATTTTAGGTTTATTATTTATCGCTAAATACTAGTTGTTTTTTAAAAGTAGCTCCTTTGTTTTTATTATGTATCCCACGAAGAATAAAAATATCTGTTATATGGAGTTAGGACCTGGACTTTTAAAGTATACGAGATGTAGTATCAATAAAGAATACTTCGAATATCCTGTGTAGATATAGATCACCGAAGTAATATTAAATAGAGCAAATGCCGTTTGGGGATGATTTAAAACTATTAAGATTAGAAATATATCATACTCAGGGGATGTCCTTAGACAAAACCTAAACAAAATTCTTCAGCTTATACTGAAAGATAAAATCGAGGATCGCATATGAAATGCAAGGAAGCCAATGTTATGGCAGAAAAATATTAGTCAATAAACAAAGCCAAAAAACTATGTCTTAAGGATATTTCCAGGCATATAAGCTCTCTTTTCAAGGTCCAGCAATTTCCTTATTTTCGTCACTTTCTTCTAATCTTCAGTTACAAAATAAAAGCATGTAATATTCGACCTTCTGGAATTATTCAGATATTTTCTGATTCTCAATCCATCAACTTTTTACAGCTAGTTACGAGGAATTCGCTTCTCAGTATCCTTCGACGATAAGTTCACGTACCGAAAAACTTCAAAGCATGCAATAATTACAGTCAGTTTTGTGAATTGCACTTAAGCATCAGCGAAGAACTTTCACCACGACACGTCCGCAAAGCTGTAGAACGCTGAGGGTTAAGGGGATTAAAATCCAAACGTATTTTAGATGTATCTACATGGTTTATTAGAATATTAATACGAATAATCAGGAAAGTTAAAAAAAATACTTTGACTGATAGAAGAGAATTATACACAAAATAATTTATAAATAAAATAAAGGGTGTAAATATTTCTCTAAATAAAGGGTCGTTCAGGACGAAATTAACAATCGTGCTTTCAGCATGTAAGATAGGATATAGTAAACGAAAACGTATAGCTATTAGTAACAATAAGAATCACGCATGTTTACTATCAGTTACCAAATAAAATATTGAAATAATTATTAATGTCATAGATAGCGCCGAAAAAATTCTGAAAAGATGGATTCGAAACGAGATTTGAAATTGTATATTTGGATTTAATATATATGTAATTGTCTGTCCACCCTATATAGTTGCCCCTAGGGGGCTTGAGACCTCGAAAGACCTGAAGAAGATATCAAAGGGGATGTTGAAAGCTCGGCGCAGTGATAATCGAAGCAATTCAATTCGGAAGCCTGTTGAGATTAATGTTAATTCTTGTAATAGTGTAAATCTTAACTTTAGGTTTAATTGTACTAATTGCAGAAATAAAAAAATCGGCGATCTCCACTATGCTGACTATCCTTTAACGCTAGCATCATTAACAGATATACTTAAACACACTATGAACATACTAGATACTATGAGTCATAAATATGGACTTAAAATTAATATGAGCTTGGTCATGAATGTGGACTTTATATAAATGTTATGGGAGAATACTTTTGCAAATGGAGATAACGGTCCAATGCAACGAAAACCCCAGTTTTGCTCAGAGTTCAACTGAATAATGCCCAAGCAAACAAAAAACTCTCCGTTCACTTTGAAAACAGACTGCTCACTCATAACTCAACAGCAAAATATCTTGGAGTGACTGTGGACAGAACGTTGTTTTAAAGAACACCTATAACTGAAAACGCGAAATAATATAGTCCAAAAGCTATGAAATACCACATGGGGATCATTAACCTCCGTACTTAGATCATTCGCCCTCAGACTTGTATACTCGACGGCTGAATATGCTTCCCCGGTATGGCTCAATAGCAAACACACGAAGATTATTGACACCCAATTCAACCAAACAATGCGAATGATCTCAGGTACAATTAGACCCACACCAAACTATTGGCTTCCCATTCTGAGTCACATTCCACCGCCGGAACTGCATGATACATGAACATCCCCATGATATATAAGCTTCCCCATGATACATGATATATCTCAGTACTCAGATCATCGGCCCTCAGACTTGTATACTCGACGATTGAATATGCTTTCCCGGTATGGCTCAATAGCAAACACACGAAGATTATTAACACCCAATTAAACCAGACAATGCAAATGATCTCAGGTACAATTAGACCCACACCAAACTATTGGCTTCCCATTCTGAGTCACCTTCCACCGCCGGAACTGAGAGCGACTCACCATAGGAAGCAGACAAAATGGCCTGTATGGATCAAAAACCGCCAGGCTTTGAACTGACCCACAATACATGGACAACGCTAAACAGAATAAGAACAAGCAGCGGTAGATGTGCTGACATCTTTTATAGATGGGGAAAAGCATTTACTTCTGAGTATAACTGTAGTGCACAATGACAGACCGTCTGTCACATTGTTGAAGAATGCCCCCGAAGGCGATTCCCTGGATTTTCGATAAGTTCCCCAATGCAACGGAAAATGTTTTACATCATATTAATTATACATTGGATGTTCGTTTGTAATATTATGTGTAACGTTTTATATTACCATAACTAAATAAATAAATAAATATAAGTAGCCAGCCGCAAATAAGAAATGTAGCAGGTAGCAGGACATGAAGTGGTAGGTCATTTTCTTGGGCTTTGTTATTACAAACAATGGTGGATGCGCCAAAAAACAAGTCAACGCTTTACAAATCAGCATAGGTCAAGCTTACTAAAATCTGGACAGATACGACCATAATTAAGAACATTAAACTAAGCCTGGTATGAGCACTTATCTTTTCTATGGCGACCTAAGCTGAAGAAACTTGGACCATCAAAAAATCTGACTCACAACGTATAATGGCCTTTGAAATGTGGGTCTATCGTAGAATGATGCGCATACTGTAGACAGCAGGGAGGTCAACCCTTTCCCCAGCTTTTCAAGTCCTGGTAGCAACAGCTTATAGTAGGTATCAGCTCCTACGAGCAAATCAATGGCAGCTGGTTGACCGAAATCTTCATCAGCCAGTCTATTTAACTTATGAGACGAAATTTTAAACTTTCTTATGTCAATAACTATCTGAGGCAAGCAATTTGTTATAGAAGGTTTTACTGCATAAGAAATAGTAAACCGCTTAGCAGAAGAATTGCGAGGAGAGATATCTATTGTAACTCTTTACTTAATGGCATTACTATCATTAAGAATTCCCGGGATATGCAGGCTAAAAAGATGCCATTTGCATCCTAATGATTTAGCTAGTGACTTAATTATGAATGAACTTTGACTTCCAGAATGACTCTGACTAGCTATACGAAGGAAAATATGGAGAGCTTGGTAGTTGAAGGAAAAGTATATGGTAAAAAAATTCAAGGAAGATTACCACTTCGATGGTCAGACCAAATAAAGAAGACCATTAATTTCTCTCTCTCTCCCTCTCTCTCTCTCTCTCTCTCTCTCTCTCTCTCTCCAATGAATACCAACCATGCGTTGATTACCATAACGTCACCACATTCTTACGAAGGATAAAACACATAGAAGGATGAATAAGAAAATAGACGACCTACAACTATTTTCTTGTGAAATTTTTATATTATCTACTATATTTAATGACAAGAAACCATAATTTTAATTAACGTCAATTATTTATTGCCCTTGTTGTATGTAGAAGCTTGGGTTGCTTGTAAAGTACCTATACTTCATCTAATTTAGATAACGACTTACGTCATTATCTACGTCAGAGATCGAAGTTAACATAGTTGCCAAAGTATAAAAAAAATCCTGACTCCATTTTAAATCAAATAGATAACCCCCTCTGTGGCTCAGTGGTAAGAGCGGCTGCCTTTAAACCTAAAGGTCGTGAGTTCGAATCCCACCTGGGTGGAAATTTTCGTTTATTAACAAAATTAATAAATGAAAATAATTTCTATCCTTGTGTGATCGGTACACACCGGAGGGACCGCAGACGTTCGGATACAATTAGCGTCTCTTAGCAAAGACAATGAAGTCGACTTTGCTAAGTATCAAGACAATTACTCTACACACACACACACACACTACACCTCAAATTTTAAGATTGGCGAATGGATTTAGTGTCCGCAGTCATTTAAACACAAACAAACAACAACAAATCAAATAGATTACATAATTATTGCAAAAGTATTACCATCTCTTTACAACGACTATTTAAATTTTTTACGTGACATTTTTGAAATAAAACACACTAATTTTGTTCTAAAAAGAACAGATTTTATTAAATAGTTAAAAATATAAAACAAGAGATATTCACTTTAAAATTCAAAATAATGAAGTACAAAAAGTGTCAACATCGCAACTGTCAAATAAGTGTTACCAATTTATGCCAAAATTTTACCTTCGTTCGATTACAGTTACAGTGTGTTCCGAACAAATGTTCTTGATAAAAACACTTTATAATGCATTTATACAAATTAAGTGAAACATATTATTGTGTATTTATTTAAGTTGACATAATAGAAATTTTTAAATATTATTTCTACGCGTATTATTGTTATATATTGTCGTATTACATTGTATTTAAAGTTTTATATGAGGTAAAGAAATGCAGTATTATTTTATGCATAATTATGTTTTTCTTATCAGTGTTTATTATCACATTTGTATATCATTTATATCAAAATCACCACTGCTATCGGTTTTTAAGACAAGGTTCATCCTAAATGTCATATTTATAAATATAGCAGAAGGAATTTATAACAACAAAAACAAGTAATTTCTTGGAAACAATACAGCTGTGCATTTAATTTGATTTTTCTCCCCAAGTTAAAAACCGTCAAGTCCTGTCGCTGAAAGTCGTTGTCTCTGTATATCGGCCAACGAACGTCCTTGGTTCTACTTGTGCATTTTTTCCTAAAGTTTATGTCGCTGTGTATGCCCATAACATCAACTCGGGAGATAAATACTTAAAGTGTCGCAATTACTTGTTTTTAATGCTATCGATATGCTTGAGGTTGCAATACAATGAATTTTGGGTACGTTGGCAATTGCGAATAGTTCTAACGAATCTAATGAACTGGAAATTGTATATATTCCAAACAATACTCATAAAATATCTTGGATTATAATAATTTGTTTTGTCAGATCTGTATTGAGATTTCATCGACAACTATTTTGTTGCAATAGCGACTGTAAAACGTCATTTAGTCCATGTTGTGAGACCGCTCCCGTAGACAAAATGTTTCTGATTCGGTTTCTTTGCAGATTCTTCTTGAAAAATATTTTCTTTAGACAAATTTGAAGGATGCCGATGATTAATGATTTTTTTAACAAATTCCCAAAATTCACATTTTGTTGCCCCGGAAAACATTTTTTTAGGTTTTTGAGTCATTCAAAAAATATATTATTGTCATATTTATCTACATTTTTCGAGTTACAAGCGATTTAAAATATGAAAAATGCAAAAATAAACATTTTCGAGGATTTAAAACCCATATGTAAATTATAATTTTTGAAGTTGCTTCGTGCATAAATTTAAGTTTAAACATTCAGTTTCAAGGTTTTAAAGAGCAATCGGAGCATATTTCAATTTAAAAAAGATGTTAAATCTTTGTAATTGGGTATATTTAAAAAAACCCTTAAAGGGGCTACATCAAATTAACAAACGTTTTCGGAAAAATAATTCCATCATCAGGTTAAATCCTAAAATAAGTATAAATCATTTAATTAAACAAACGTGGTTAAAATTTTGACTAAGGTTAAAAAAGCAAAATGGTTTATACTTACAGGTTAACATTCCTTCATACATAACAAGTATTCTTCTTTCAAAGGGGCCTAACAGTTCTTCCTCGTTTTTTTACCATTGTTCATGTCTCTGACGCATATGTCAGGACAGGTTTAATAAGAGTATCTTGGTTTTTCTGCTAATTATGTGTGATGTTAAGTACTGCTTTAGTCCAAAGTAAGCTCTGTTCGCCAGGTATATTCTTCTCTTAATTTCTACACTTACTAGGTTGCTGTTATTTAGTTGTGTTCCAAGATATATAAACTGTGCTTCTTTCACCAGATCTTGTGGTGCCGCTGTTTGTGTGCTGTTTGTGACCTTCATGTATTTTGTTTTGGATACGTTGACCTGCAGTCCCATTGTCTTAGCGTTTTTTTCTAATGTTAGAGATTTCATTAGACCCTTTATATCTTTGGTGCTCACTATTTTTGAGCACTAGTAGAATTTCCCTCTCAGATGGTAAAATGTTAGAGGTGCAGGCTGCTATAATAGGCAGCCTGGTCTATGATATGTAGCAACACAAGGTTTTTCTGACATTCAAAAGAAAGTTTAAGTGCAGAAGGCCCGTCGTCTTTTTTAATCATATAATAAAAATGCTTTGCCTTGATTGTATGAACCACATGCTCAACCATAACTTCAATCTTCCTGGGCACTGCAGGCATCGTTTTGATTTTTCCTACAGGAGCAATCTCACAACATGAAATGATTGCTATATTTTGTAAGAAAGTAAAGATATAAACGTAAATATACCAAGTCCGTAGAACACTATCACTTAACAAAACTGTGTCCCTCGATTCAGCGGTGTCGGAATGTAAACACGTTTTTTAACCCAGTCGATAGAGGTACTGATGAAATATGAATTTTATTTATAAAATAAACAAATACTCTGCCGAGAATAAATATCTTATTTATTTTAAAAACTAATATTCTTTTTTACCTATATTCAGTTGTAACATAGTTTACTTACTGATTGCTTAAAGAAAACAACGTTTTTGTCCCTTAAAGTTTGCTGAAAATAATGCAAATGAACAATTTTTCTTTGGTATATTAAATATTGAAAAGGGACAATTTTAATTTGATGTCCTTTTGTTAAAACAAAAAAAAATTGATGCCAAACATGTTCTATAGGTGTAATATCAGGACTGCGAGCAGGCCAAACAAATCGTTTGATTTGAACCTCGTCAATTTAATCAGTAACTATCCGAGTAGTTTGGGGCCATGCATTATCATGCATAAATATTCCTTCGTCTTAAAAAATTTTAATAAACGGTGAAACATGGTCTTCTAGTACCCGTTTCGGTACCTGTACGTAGTCACAGTCCTTTTCTTGATAAAGACTCACTTCGTTCAAGTGTTAAACGATATGCCTCCCTATGCCATAACTAGCCCTCCACTAAATGGAAGTTGCTCGGTAATAAACATATCTCTCGCCGGACGTCTCCACACTCCTACACGTTTGTCTGACCACGTAAGAGAAAATCTCAATTCATCGAAAACAATACACGAGTTTAATCTTATATTGTCCAAGCCAAGGGTTCTAGTGCAAAACTCAAGCTGGGAATTAGATATTCACGGAAAAGCAGCGGTCCAGTTACTCTAGGTCGAGAAAATAAACCAGCAGCATGAAGCCGTTTTCTAACTGTCCATTCACTTATGTTTACATTTGTTGTTGTTTGTTGTTGTTTGCTGTGTTGCTGTATTAAAAAATTATAAACAAAATAAATAAAAAATTTTGAATAAAATTTTTTATTTATTTTTGTTTATAATTTTTTGGATTTTTTTTCTGGTCATTTTACAAAAAAAAAAGAACTTAAAACAATAACAGTTATTATAACAGTTGTTTGATCTATTTTACGAGCATAAAAATTACTACACGCTGAAGTTCTGCTAATTTCTAACATATAGAGAACTAATGCAAGTCATCATTTCTAAAAGATCAACTGTTTTAAAGAAAGTATAATGAGAATCAACCATTTTTTAAATTTCTACTGAGAGTCATTGAACATACCTGTACATCTTTGGTAAAAAATAAATACTCGGAGCATTGCTCTAGTTATTTCTGCTAAATTAACGATACAATGTTGCTAGGACATTTTTCATTAATTTTTTGTTTGTTCTACTTGCAGGTCGACTGGCTGTTATATTAGTAGGATTATTTACATTAGCGATAGGTATAATTTTATCTTCAATTCCATGGTTAGACTATATAATTTTAAAGGTAAGCTACTTTTTTTTAATTATGAATTTAAAGTTTATTTTAATGAAAGTAGGGGAAATACGTACAAAATGACATATTATTATATGTACAAAATAACTTGGTGAATTTGACGGACTTTAACACGAAACTGACTGTTACATCACCATCGAGCAATAAGACAAAAAAGGGAATGTAAAGGTAGTGGGGGCAAAAATATTGTTAGACAGGAAGAGCCATCTTGAGAGGCCAAATTAAACAAGGAAAGACAGTCTCTTTCCTTGTTTAAGAAATCAAATTTAGTTGGGTTATGTTATTGTTTGTCCCAACTGTCACATGAAATCTTGTATATTGAAGTTTTTTAACAACTGTTTTACATTTTAGACTGTTATCTTCTTCTTCTTCTTGGGTGCCGTGTCCGTATTCAGACGTTGGCCGTCATCATGTTTACAATTTCCTGAAACCTTTCTCTGTCTGCTGCTGCGCGAAATAATTCTTCTACTGTGAAACCACACCTGTTATCGTTAACATTTAATTAAAACTTTTTCGTCTAAGACACATTCTGAAAACTATTTTATAGCTTATGTTAATACGTGTCGGAAAATTTAAATTTGGCGCATTCGCATTTCCTGATATGTCCGCCATCAGAGGCCACTTTTTTGGTCTCCTTTTCATAACGATTAGATTCCCTCTTTTGTCTTTTTGCTCGATATACACCACGCGGCCATAACGTTACTCTCTAATCTGTCAAATTTTGAAAGCATCCAGTTCATTCTTCTTGGTGTCATGGCCGATTGCAGGTATTCACCAGTTACGATTTTTTTATACTTGCAAAGTGTTTGTTCAAATAGTAAGTTTTTTGCTATTTTATGTATTTATATAGCATTTCTATCATTTCATTAATACTTATCTTTAAATTAAATAACTTATTTTCATAAAAATAGATCTTTATATATTTATTTTATATTTTTATATTAACAATGTTTATAGTTTTACAACGCTCTACAGACAAACGACATCCATATGTAATGGACAAAATAGGTTAGGTATGACATTTTGTCCATAGCCTTTTTTTGTTCTATGTAGGTATGTATTTTTTTCAGATATTCAGATATATTTTCAGATGCCACACGATTATAAACGAACGACTGATCGGCAATCTTGGAGTGTGGAGTCAATTAAGAAAGTCATCGACGCAGTTCAAGATAAGAAAATGGACTGGTTATTGACCTAAAAAACATTAAGTGTTCCTCCAGCAACTCTTGACGGATGACGGTATAAAAGTCGGAGATGCCACACTGGGTAGAATAGAGAAACTCGTGTATCTCGGCAGTAATATCAACGAGAGCTGGGATCCAACCGCAGAAATTAAAAGCCGAATAGAACAAGCCCGAGCTGCCTTTGTAAAAATGAGAAACGTACATTGCAGTCACGATCTTAGCATTGACCTTAGAGTTCGAATGACATATTGCTACATCTTTCCTGTCCTGCTGTATCGAGTGTAAACTTAGACTCTAACTGAGGCTATCCTTAAACGCTTGACAGCCTTTGAGACGGCTACTGAAAATAAGCTGGATTTACCGAGTTAAAATGAGGAGGTCCTTAGGCGGCTGAACCAAACAACACAACTGGTCAATATAATAAAGAAACGCAAGCTGGAATACTTCGGTCACATTATGAGACACTCTGAAAAATATGATCTTTTACATCTGATTATTCAGGGAAAGATCCAAGGTAATCGTGGTCCTGGTAGAAGAAGAACATTATGGCTGAAAAATCTAAGGCAATGGTATGGAGAATCAACTACATCGTTATTTAAAGCTGTTGTCAATACAGCCACGATAGTGAATATGGTAGCCAACATGATATCCAACGGTCATTGAACTAGAAGAAGAAGAAGCAACTCTTTGCTGGCTTGTTTCATGCAATAATAAAACTTTAAAGTCATTCAAAAGGCCTTGGTAGTTGTGAAGCTACCCACACATCATCAGATTGTCGGCTTGTTCTAAGACTCAAATGGCAAGGCAGCCACAATGTAAAATGCATGTCACGGATTTAGAAGCACTAAACCCTGATATATATTCGGATAATATTTACGACTCCGCTGAAACCACCAACATACCGCTGAAAGACAACTCCAATGAACAGCCTCCTCTGTCTGCAACGTAATAAGCTCTATCAAGTCTGAACAGGTTTTACGTCAACATTCACAAGAAGCAGACGATTCAGTTCATGTGACAAATACATGTCAAATCGCCGTGGCTGCTACGTTATCTTTCGTTCAGCCATGGTCATTGATAAGGTATTTGAAAGAAATAAGGCAGTCGAAAAAGAACCAATTCCGGATCATAAGCTGGAAATTCATCTCAGATTCCAAAAACAAACTCCGATCTAGAAGTTGTTTTAACTGCTACTGCTATAAATGAACGTGCTAGTCGATCGTTCGGTCTTCACCGGCATTTATGGACTTCCACCACCTTTCTCCGGTGCCAAAAAGATGTTTTATTAATGGCCAAGGAAAACTTAAGCCAGAAATTAGAACAGAGCTTGTTGGTGTTGACTTGTACTCAATATATTGTAAATAAAATCTAAACTTACTATAGCGGCCTTTACTCAAGATCTAAGCCCAGAAAACTGATTGCGGGACTTACAATGTTTGGTTTGGGCTTACGCTTCTAGCGCTGATGTTCCAAGAAGACCTGAACTTTTAATTCGCGAATTATGCCAATATTTTTTTAGCTATTATATGTATTTCATATTGTAATTAGCAATATGTCATTTTATCCGAAACATATGGACAAAATGGATAATGATTGATCTCATTTAAATATTTTTTGTTTTTTTTTCTATAGATTTTTTACTATATATGTTCATTAGTTTCGATAATTTAAGGACCAAATATGGTTAATGTAAGTTATGGTTGTACTGTGTAAGCTACCAATAAAAAGTTATAAACACAAAAACAAAACTATATGTCATTTTGTACACATTTCTCCTGCATTATAAAAATGAGCTAGGCGTTTTCGCCTAGGCGAAATAGGAAGTATAGTAAATTATCTGTTTATAAGTTTTTCTTTTTATCCACCCAGTATATGGGATTGTTTATTTTATTCTTTGTTGTTTATTGATCTTTTCCAGTTTTCTGGTATGCACTTATTGCTCTCATTTAGTCAATCGTCTTTTCTCTTTTTGTCGTTTATTCTTCTTCTTCTTCTTCATATGTATCATCCTTAAAGAACAATGGCGACTATCACGGTCTATTGTACTGTCTCTGTAGAAGTTCTAAATAGTTGTACTATTGTTTTCCCACTCCATTGCTTTTAATTTTTTAACCAGATCGTACATAGTCTCTCCCATCCTGTTTTTCCTTTCACCCCGTCTTATCTATTCAGTCGCATTAACTTTTTATTTATTCTTATTTTTCATTTTGAAGCTATTTTCTTGTAGCATTATAAATTAATTACTATTTAACTGGGAATAAGCCACAATTAAAGATAAAAATACGTTTATTGACGTTTCAATTTCCACTTCGGAAATCGTTCTCAAAATACAAATAGTAAATAAAAGGATTATCAAAATAAAAAGGATTATCAGAAAAACTTAAAAGGATAGGAAATAAATTCAACATTTCAACAACATTCAAAACAACAAACACGTTGAGATCTATTTTGTCCAAAACCAAACCTAACAATGAACAAGAAAGGACAAAGAATTGCATTTATAAAATACCTTGTGAATGCGATCAGTTTTATTTAGGTGAATCATCAAGGCCATTAAATGTTAGAATAAGTGAACATAAATCTTATATTAAAAATAAAGAATTTGATAGATCTCAAATCTGTAAACACGCATCGGATAATGAACATAGGGTTCAATGGAATAATGCAAATGTAGTCCTAAAAGAAACGGATGGTAAAAAAAGAAAAATCAAAGAAGCGGCTCTAATTATGCTAAATGAGGCCAATTGTGTCGCAAATTCCTCGGCAGAATGTAGTAGGATCTGGTTACCAATATTGAAAGAGGAAGTTATTAATAAGAAAATACCAGTATTAGTAAGTCAGTAACATATAGAGGATACATCATTTATGTTTTTTAAATAAAGTAACATATAAAATCAGAATTTTGATGTTTGTTGAAGGTAAACTAAATTCACGAACAAATACTTACAATGTCGGGATAGTATTATGAGGTTTTTTCCTGGTTTTTTCCCTCATAATTTACTATGGAATCACTAACAGGAGAATTTTACTGTCATCATGTCATGTGTTTGTCTTTTTAAAGACGAATTACATGCTATGATTTTTTTCTGACGGATATTCTCAAGTTAAAGTTGATTTCATGTAATCGAATGAACTATCTTATAAGTAAAGTCGTCCCAGGAGCGCAACTCAACAATATTGGCAATATCATTTTAAAGTCGTCTACTTTAAAATGCATAATGTATGTCTGAATTGTCAATATAAATGAGTCAGATAAAATTAAATTATTAGAAGAATTTTTCACTACGTAACAAAAAACAAAATTTGTTTTATTTACTATTTGTATTTTGAGAACGATTTCCGAAGTGGAAATTGAAACGTCAATAAACGTATTTTTATCTTTAATTGTGGCTTATTCCCAGTTAAATAGTAATTTATTTTTCATTTCTTAGTATGTGACCGAAATAGCTCATTTTTGTTTCCTTCGTAGTGTTAATTATGAGTATTGAGTGAGTGTTGGTAACGTGTTGTATCCATTTACCACATTCTTCGATTACACCACTTCTAAAAGCTAGCAAGTATTTTTCAGTTGCATCCGTAATTGTACAGGCTTCAACTCCATAGAATAGGATAAAGGATAAACAACATCTTAATACTATAGTTTTAAGTTTCTATATCTTAATACTATGTTGCTAGTTTGCATAACACTTGTTTGATCTTATTGAAAGAGCTTTTGGCCAACTTAATGTCGTTTTATTTCAAGCTAGTCCATTTAGTTAAATATTTTTGTTTCTGGCAATCATGAATTTTTTTGTGTGTTCAGAGCTTACTTTATTCCACATCTTCCGCAGTACTGTCTAGTGTCATCGTGAGGTGATCAACCAAAATCTGCAGTCCTTCTCCGCTGTTGATATTTTGGCACCATTCTTTATACAGTAATCATAGCTGCTTCAGTGCCAAAGCATTTTCTAAATTCCAGTTGGTTTTATGTTATCTTATCGTCTAGTTTTTTGGAGACACGTTCAAGTGTTATTCAAAAGAAGACTTTTAAAACATTATTCATCAAGCTGATCGTTTTTTATTCTTCACATTTCATTGCGTTGGGTATTTTAGGTATTGGAATGAACAAGGGATATTAACCTCTTCTTCTTAACGTGCCCTATCAAGTCCCCTTGACATTGGCGATTAACATGGCGAAACTGTCTCGAGCTATTCTAAATAGTTGCTCAGCTTTCTTTATTCCTGTCCACTTTCTAATATTCTTCAACCAAGAAGCCTGCTTTCTACCAATTCCTCTGCGTCCTTCGATTTTACCCATCATAATAAGTTGAAAAATATTATATCGGTCTCCCCTGACTACGTGTCCAAAATAGGCCATCTTTCTACATTTGATGTTATCAAGCAGCTCGTGAGCAGTATTTGCTCTCTCAAGGACTGCCACATTTGTCAGCATAGCCGTCCATGGAATTTTTAGTATACGTCTGTGCAGGCACATTTCAAAGGCCTCCAGACGATTAATGGTGGATATTTTTAATGTTCATGTTTCGACACCGTATAAGAGGACTGACCAAATGTAGCATTTAACCATGCGCTTTCGAAGCTGAAGTTGCAAGTTATCGTTACAGAAGAATGACCTCATTTTTAAAAATGTCGTGCGGGCTATCTCGATTCTACATTCTATCTCTTGATCTGGATCTAGTTGTTCAGTAATATGGCAACCAAGATATTTAAAACTGGACACTCTTTGAATTATATGACCATCAACATATAATCGTGCATCTTAATGTGCTAAACGGCTAAACACCATGTGTTTTGTTTTTGAACAGTTTATGTTTAGGCCAAACTCTCTTACCACTGTATCAATGGCATTTAAAAGGCATTGTAATCCATTCATGTCATCACTTAAAATAACTGTATCGTCTGCATATCTGATTTTATTTATCAGAATTCCATTAACTTTCACGCCCCATTCCAAATTATGCAACGCTTTTTTAAATATTCTGTCTGAATATAAATTAAATAACAGTGGGGATAGTATAAAACCCTGTCTGACACCTCTTTGTATTTTACATATTTCTGTTGATTTTCCGTTTATGCAAGCTGTCGCTTTTTGACGCCAGTATAACTTTTCTATGAATCGTATGTCTTGACTATCAACTCCTTTATCTTTTAATATTGTAATTAATTTGTGATGCTGTACTCGATCAAAGGCCTTTTCATAGTCAATAAATACAGCAAAGACGTCTTTCCTTTGATCTCGACATTTCTGCGATAATACATTTAGTGCAAAGAGGGTTCTCACTCGTCCCGAGTTCCCAGTCCATTTCTGAAGCCAAATTGTGTTTCATCCTGATCTTCTTCACATTTATCTCTGATTCTACTGTGGATGATGCGTAGAAATATTTTCAAAGTCTGGCTCATAAGGCTTATCATTCTATAATCGCTACAGTTTTTCGGACGTTGTTTTTTTGGTAGTGTTATGAATTCGGACTTTAACCAATCTTCAGGGATATCACCAGTCGAATAAACATCATTGAAAAGTTTGACCAGTATTCCAATGTTCTCCTCATGTATAAGCTTTAACATCTCTGTCGGTACGTTATCAGGCCCAACAGCTTTCTTGTTCTTTGCTAACTTTATAGCATGCAGTATTTCTGATTTTAGTATTTCTGGTCCTTCACCTTCAACTAAAGTATCCGGTTCTTCGGGTCTATCATCATTATACAGTTCACTTATATAATTACACCAGGTTGTTCGAATTTCATGTTCGTCTATTATCATTTTTCTTGACGAATCGGTTATAGTATGTGGCGTTTTCTTATGATAAAGACCAGCTACTTCTCTAACTTTTTTAAACATATTAAACTTATCATGTTTTTCATTCAACTTTTCTAATTCCTTGTATTTATCCTCCATCCATTTTTCTTTAGCCACCTTTATTTTTTGTTTAAATAGTTTCTGTTTTTCCTTATATTCTGTGTTGTTACCTTTCAGTTTCCTTCTCTGCCCCATTAATTCTAGGATTTCATCAGTCATCCATTGTTGTTTTTTGTGCCTGTGTAACGTTGTTGAATATTTTTCTATTACTTTCAAGGTAAGATATTTAAATGTTCCATATTTCTGTGTTGTTTTCATTTATTGATTTCTTTAGCTCATTGTTTAAGTCATTTTCTATTAACGTTCTGTTGGATATTGAGATATTTAATTTTGGTGTTTTGGGGTTTTCTTGGACTTTTTTGAGCTTCACTTTGATGTCAGTTATTACAGGGTTATGGTCTGAACCAATATCTGCACCAGGATATGTCGTTACTCTGGTGACGCCATTCTTAAATCTCTTGTTTACCAGAATATATCTGATTTCTAATCATATGTAGTGAATTATCTCCTGGTCCCCTCCATGTGTATAACCTTCTTTTGTGTAATTTGAACCATGTATTTGCGATTATCATGTCATGTTCTTGACAGAACTGGTATAATCTATTGCCTCTTTCATTGCTCTCCCCTAGTCCATATTCACCTACCAGGTCAGATCTTCGGCATTGGCCAATTTTTGCGTTAAAATCTCCAATAATATATATCTCCAATAATATATATCTCCAATAATATATATGGATATTAACCATACGTGGATATTTCCCCAGTGTCGTAGATTTCATTGAATAATTCTTCTAGTATATCAATTAGTAGTCTATTCATCATCATTTTGGCTTTACAACCCTGTGTGGGTACTAGTCTCCCCAAGATATTTTTTCCGGTCGTCCCTATCCATCGCGTTGCTCCGCCAAGCACGTATTTCCATATTTCTCATATCTTGGTCTATGTCATCTAGGAATCTTGTTCTGGGTCTTTTAGTAGTCTATTAGTAGTCTCTATTAGTGGTCTTAAAATTTTTGTAGGTATTTCATCCGGTCCCACGGCTTTATCATTTTTTATACGTTTTAGTGCTCTTTTAATTTTCCTTTTGGTAATCGCAGATTGGTGTCTTCCTCTTGATTCAATTGTCGTTATTTTTTCGTCGTCTTCAAAAAACTCCTTTATACAGTTTTCCCATATATTTATTTGCACTTTAAATTTTTTTAATCTTTGTATTTCTGCACATTTTTTTGACAGCCACAACTTCCTCGTGTATTTTTTCTTTAATCTATTTGTAAATATTACTTCCTTTTAGTTTTCCCAGATTTATTCTAGTGGCTGAATGTTGGTCTTTATGTTCTTTAGCTTGAGTTTCCTATCTACTAAAACAAGATTGTGGTTACTTGCTATATCTGCCCCTGAGTAATCTTTAGTCGATACTTTGACTTATGAATTTGTGTTTCCATTTTAGAATTTACGATTAACAGACGGATCACTAAGTTATCAATATTGGCAGAAACCTGGCGTGATTCGACTAACCAAAGTGTACATATTTAACGTTACTAATCCTGAAACATTCCTTACCCAAGGAGAAAAACCAAGGCTGCAAGAAGTCGGGCCTTTTGTATATCGGTAAGTGGACTTTTTAAATTTTCAAAACCATTAGCAATGCACAGATATTTTTTGCTTGTAATCACAAGCTGGTCTTGTTTTTAATAATTTCTAAATGTATTTACAATCTATTATATATTTACAATAACTTAACTGTAAAATATTTGACACATGACTTACAGAAAATTGTCCTTTGACAATGCCCATACATTCTTGGTACTGAAGAGCGGTAATGAAACTTTTTGCAGGAAATTATCATAAATACAGCTAAAAAAATATGCCTGACAAGCAAAAAACAATAAAGAGAAACAAACAATCTAGTAGAATGAAGAAATGGAGCAGCAGATTGAAAGAAGAAAATATCATAGAAATAATATTTAAATAATAAAGTGGTAAAAAACTTCTAAAAAAAGAAGCGAGTCTTCTACAGCTGACGCCGCTTCTCGCATCCTAATTTCCAGCGTTTTCTGTCGAAGCAATCTTCAGTTGTTAGATCTCTGGCGGTCATTGCATCGTCGACATCGTCTCTCCAGGATCGTCTTGATCTACCTCGTTTTCTTCTAGTTGGCGGAGTCCATTCTTCTATTTTTTTTTGACAATCTATTTTCCGGCATTCTCTGAAGGTGTCCATACCAGTTAAGTCTTTTGGCTTCGATTGTGTCTATTATGTCTAGATCGATTTCCATTTCTCTCCGAATATCTTCGTGTCTCACCCTATCAAGTCTAGTGAGCTGGCAACATAGTCTCCAGTAGTTCATTTCCATCGCCTTAATTTTTGATTTGTTTCTTTGGTTTATTTCCCAGAGTTTTATAAATTCTTCTTTTATTTTCTTTTGTTATTTTTTTATTCCATAATAGTCCGTGTAGCTGTCTGGTGGCTGATCTTGCTTGGCCAATCCTGGAATGTATTTCTTCGCTACTTCCTGCTTTTGATGTTATTTGGACTCTCAAGTACTTAAAATTGTCTGTTGGTTTTATAGTTCCCATTTCGATTTGTAGGCTTTCTGGTTTTTCTCCTACAACTAAGTACTCAGTTTTTTGTATATTAATTGTGAGGCCCCATTTGGTGTACTCATCTTCCAGTTTTCTAAGCATGTAGCTTATATCACTCTCGTCTTCAGCTAGAATGGCTTGGTCGTCAGCGAAATGTATCGTGTAAAATCTATCATCTCCGATTGGGATGCCCATATTGCAGCACTTTCTTCTCCACATTGAGAGTACCTCATTTAGATATATTTTGAAGAGTGGAGGTGCTATGCAGCAGCCTTGCTTTAGGCCCTTACTAATAGGAATTTCTCTAGTTAATCTATTTCCAGTTTTAATGTTTGCCGTCATAATTTTGTAGAGCTGTTGTACTGCTTGTATATCTTTTTTGCTTATTCCTTGTTTTTCCATTGCTACCCAAAGCATTGAAAGTGGTACACTATCGTATGCCTTTGTCAGATCTATAAAGACTATATGAGTTGAAAGGTTGTGGGCTAATCTTTTCTCGATAACTTGCTTTAGAGAAAATATACTGTCCATGCAGGATCTGCCTGCACGAAAGCCATTCTGTTCTTCTACATCTGTTATCTCTTTTTCAATTTTATTTTTTATTATTTTTCCATACAGTCTTGAGAGTGAATTTATGACACTTAGCCCCCTATAGTTTGAACAATTCTTTCTATCTCCTTTTTTGTATATGTTGTTAATATGTGCTTTTATCCACTCCGGTGGTAAGTCGTGTCCATTATAGAATAAGGTGAAGACATAAGCCAGTAATTCTCGTAATACTTGTGGGCTATGTTTTAATAATTCATTTGGTATACCTTGTGGTCCGCATGTTGGCTACTAGCATGCCAATTCTAACTTTATTGACCGCAGCTCGAAAAAGTCCTGAAGTAGTCAAGAAAAACCATTTTCGTAAGTTCTGGAACTAAGATATTCTTCTTCTTCCTGGTCTTCTCTTTCCGTAGACCTTTCCCTGTAATAGTTTTAAGGTAATAGGTAATAGGTTTTAGTCGTAAAGAAGAAAAATAAATGGAGGAAGTTTGGAGAAAAACTGTAAAGAAAACAGAAGTTATTTTCGGGTCTTAAAATCACTCAGAAATAACGAAACATAACTAACAAATAACATACAGGATAAAGAAAGTAAAATATTTACATATAAAAATTAAATAATGAAGAGATGAAGCAAATATTTTCAAAATTTGTTATAGGAAATTGTATTGCAAGGTTATTATTCAAAACATCTTTTGGATTGGAGAAATAATTTCTCTGGTGGCTGGTGCGATATCACCCTCATAGCAAAAGTACTGAACCTTGTAGAAGCCCGTTATTGATGTGTTTTGGTTTGCTTATCTCTCTGTTGAAAGTAACTTGGAGATTTCTGTTACTCAACATATTTTGTATTAAACGTACCCTAATCTGGCAAGGACTCACTCTTAGAAGCTTGTAGATTACTCCTTCTTTACAGAAAGAGTCATAGGCTGATATTAGCTTTAGAAATACAGCACTTCTTTTCAGTTTCTGTTGAAAACTAGCCTCTATGTAGCATATTAATGATAGTACTTGGTCACAGTAGCTGAATCATATCAAAAGTTCGCCTGTTCTATTGGTAAATTTTCAGTTATAATACCGCTAATTCTGTTAAAACAAGTCGTTCAAGAAGTTTGTATGTGCTGCTAAGAAGTACAATTGGCCGTAGCTGTGCGGTTGATCTGCTGGTTTTAATAAGATATAAAAGTAGCTGTTTTTGGTTTAGAACATGTGACTTTATTACAAACAAAGCAAAAAGATCTGATCACTGATTAAAGGATATTAACTAGAACACAAGAAACAAAATTTATAGAGTTCACACATAAATTAACAAAAACTTGAGAAAAAGAAAACATAAAACTTATTAAATGTTGTTAAAAACTTCACCAATAAAAATTATTTTTAAACTGTTTGTTAATTTTTAAAAGCATGGTGGCCTATTATTTATTTAAAAAAATCGAAAAACTGTACAATTATTTTATATTAACATTATTTTCCCATGAATTTATACGCCCACTTCCTAAGATAAAATCTTCATGCGTAAATACAATGATTATTGATATTATTAAATATCACGGTTTAACATAGAAACCGACCTAGGCCAAGAATTCTCTGCCAAGGTTAGTAAAGGTCAGATATGTTCTCTTCTTGTACTACTAGTACCGTTATTTCATTTCCGATCGCAAGGAGTGAATAACACGAAGAAACTTTCTGCAAACATGACAATTATTGGCATATTTAAATGGATTTTTTAAATATCGGAGAGTTTAATTTGAATAAAAAGTGAAAGTTACAAAGGGTGTACATCGTAAACTTAAGCTTATTATGGATTCTGCTCGATAGTATCCTAGTCGTCCTGCTGAATGACCTTGTTAATGTAAAGTTTGGTTAGGCCTCTATTTTAACAAATATTTTTGGGAAAAATAAATAAAAAGTTCAATTAAACCAGAAATTATTAACGAATATTATTTCTAAATGGCTTCACAAGTAAACAACTATTCGAAAAACAGTGTGAATAAGTTTTTAACTAACCATTGTGGAATAAGAATTGCAAAGAATCCATACATTAAATAGGTTTAAACGGCACAAAACCCAATAAAGTAAAATAGAATTCAAAGGTTAAAAGCTAGAGCCCAATTAATCATAAAAAAACAAGAGAAGTCTCATGGTCAAAATACGTCTCAGAAATAAACAGTTCTACTCCAATAAGCGAAGTTTGGAAAAGGGTAAAGACAATTTCCGGTTTAAAGTATTCTTCATCAATTAACAATCTTAAAATAAACAATACCACAGTCTCTTCTTCACAAGACATTGCTAAAACTATTGCATCCACCTTTGAACAACATTCCTCTAGCGTAAACTACGACAATAATTTTGGGGACTACAATTTAAAGAAAGAACGCACCATCTTGCATCTAGAAGAATCTCACGAAAATCCCCTATCTCAACCTCTTACTATTACAGAACTAAATAACTCCTTACAAGATATGAAAAACTCAAGTCCAGGACCCGACAATATTCCTGTTGTATTCCTAAAGCATTTATCAATCTTAGCAAAAGAACATCCACTGAAAATTTTTAATCAAATTTGGCAGCAACGACAATATCTGTCTATATGGGCAAAAGCCACAATTTTGCCGTTTTTAAAATCCAGAAAGCCTCGACTTGATCCAGAATCATACCGACCCATCTCTCTAATACGTGCCATGGCTATATTAATGGAGAAAATAGTCAATGCCCGGCTTATGTGGACACTGAAAAAATCTTATTTCTTCTTATCAGAGCAAAACGGCTTCAGACTTAACCGGTCACCAATTGACAATATCATAGACTTACAAAGTGATATCCAAGAAGCGTTACCAAAGAATCAAATGTGCATAGCTATTTTCTTCGATCTAAAGAAAGCCTTCAATACTTGTTGGAGATTTAACATCATTAAAAAATTGCACGCATCCAATATTAGAGGACACTGCTTAGCCTATATCGAAAATGTCTTAAAGAACTTTTCCTTTTAAGTAAGAGTTAATAACGTTTATTTCGATTTTTATACTACAGAAAACGGTACCCTACAATGCTCAGTACTTAGTCCTACCGTATTCCTAGTTGCCATAAACAACATATTAATCAAATCTCGCCTCTATGCCGACGATTTAGTGGTGTACATTAAAGGAGCACAAAAAGAATCTATGTGCAGAATACTACAGACATTTTTAACCCAACTAGATAAATGGACAGCTGGTACAGGCTTCAAATTCTCCGTTACAAAGACAACTGGTATGGTGTTTACGAAAAAATCATCCATTACACTAGTCCTTTATCATCACAACAGCATCATTCCCTTCCAAAACTCCGTGAAATTCCTTAGTCTGTGGCTGGATCAAAAACTTTCCTGGAAAAAGCATATACAACACTTGGCGCTAACATGCAACAAAAGACTCAATTTGCTTAAAAGGGTATCAAATCGTTTCTGGGGTTCCGACTTCTCTACATTACTCCTTCTGTAT